TCAGAACCACCTTAAATTATTGTTGTTTAACAGTTAAATTTCATTGAACATTCGCTCGCCTTGCTGCCAGCCACATTACCCCCAACAAAACGTTTGTGGACAAATGCGTAACAGTATTGAAGTAATAACAATTAACCAGAAACACTTCGAATTAAGGTAGATTTTTTTTCCAGGACGCTAGAAAAAGCAAACAAAAAAAATCGAATTTATATTCATATTATAGAATTATATGATTGATCGCGAATATCTCGCGAATGGAAAATTTTAGATAGAAATTCATCCAATCAATTTTTGCCTTTTTTTTCTATTGAATAAATAGAAAATTCCGTGCGTTTTGTGTACGAAAATAAGTAATTTTGTCATCAGAAAACGAGGCATTTCCGTGATGGGAAAAAGTAGTTTCCCTAACACAGTCGCCGAATATTGATACCGAGCAAGTAATCCTACGTCAAATCTGCGGTCGTGTCCTGGATACAATCTCTTACTTTTTTATGTATCTTAGCTCTTGGATCAACATCAAAACTTGGTGTCAGAAACAGAATTAGGTACTCATAAGTTCTAAATAGAGCTGGAATTAGGGCCTAACAGCTTTTGTAAACAATGACTTCTCTTGATGATTTCTAGAAATTTGAGGCTTGCCCACGCAAACCAACATCCATCCTCATCGGGTAGGGAAAGACGTCCCCTATCCGATGGTTAGGTTTGTCTGCGTGGACGTGCCTTGAATTCCTGCTCTATCTAGAGTTATTGTCTCATGCTTGGATGAAACATTTCATTCTTGTTTGTTGCGGTCAATCATTCACATTTGCGCTCTTGAATTCCGCAAAAAAACTTCAAGTTGGCATTTTCGATATTTTTCAACAAATCATAACTCAAAAGCGTCACTTCCAATCGAAATGATGTCTGTTCACATTGTTTGTGAAATTTTGCCTAGAAAACCATTCCTTAGACGATCATTTTCTGAGCAAAAATTTACCTTAGAAAATTAAATAGGTAAAGTTCAAATTTTATCCAAAAGTTGTTGTTTTATGATTTTCAAGTTGAAATTTTTACAAAAGATAACATTTTTTATAAGATTTTTAATGAAAACTATTTTAACAATAAAGTAGGGGGAATTAGTTTGCTAATTAAGTTTTAAACACGCTTTCGAATTTTTTTCCCAAAATTTCCCCGTGTATTTTATTCCCAAAAATAATTTGTGTTGTCCAACAACTTTGTTCAGACGTCATTTCTATTGGACGTGATGCTTTCGAGTTGCGATTTATTGAAAAGTATCAAAGACCCCCATTTGGAGTTTGTTTTGTGAGGTTCTAAATGGCCGAATTATAGCTCAAATATGTATGATTGACCATAACAAATAATTGGGCAATGTTTCATGCAAATCGGAGAAGGTCAAGTCTGACTTCAGTCACTTTTAACGTATGACTACGTTAAGATTTTGAACGATCATACCTCTGATATATCATGACACATTTTTAATATTGTTACATCAATCGTTCGGAATTTTCTCTACGTATCGATTCCAATTGGTAAAATTATTGATTTTCAACAATATACGTTTGAACAAATGGTGATCGTCCAGCATAAACCAACATTTCGTTCAATATTGAAAGTACCGTCTTCTGATAAGGAAAACACAACTGACTAATACGTTATCATAAAATGCAACATTTGATTTAAGACTACGTCTGTGTTTTTATATGAGGGTACCTTTTGTGAGTTCGAAAAATGAACATGTAACGAAAATTGGTAAGATTTTGAACGATCATAACTCTGATATTTCATGACAAATTTTCAATATCTTTGCATCAATCGTTCTGAATTTTCTCTGTGTATCGATTCCAATTAGTAAAGCTATTAATTTTCAACAATATACGTTTGAAAATTGGTAATTTTCCAGCATAAACCAACATTTCGTTCAATATTGAAAGTACCGTCTTCTGATAAGGAAAACACAACTGCGCTTTGCGTTATCATAAAATGTAACTTTTCACGTATGACTAAGTCGGTGTTTTTTATAAGGGGGTACCTTTGCGAGTTTTAAAAATGAACTTGTAACGAAAATTGGTCAGATTTTGAACGATTATATCTCGGCTATTTCATGACAAATTTTCAATATCTATGCATCAATCGTTCGGAATTTTCTCTACGTATCGATTCCAATTGGTAAAATTATTGATTTTCAACAATATACGTTTTAAAAATTGGTAATCGTCCAGCATAAACCAACATTTCGTTCAATATGGAAAGTACCGTCTTCTGATAACGAAAACACAACTGCCTGTTGCGTTATCATAAAATGCAACTTTTGACGTATGACTACGTCTGTGTTTTTTTATATGGGGATACCTTTTGCGAGTTCGAAAAATGAACATGTAACGAAAAGTGGGCAGATTTTGAACGATTATAACTCTGATATTTCATGACACATTTTCGATATTTTTGCATCAATCATTCGAAATTTTCTTTACGTATCGATTCCACTTGGTAAAAATATTGATTTTCAACAATATACGTCAAAAGCAAACAAAGCTTTTCAAAGTCTGATATATAAAATTTCATAGACATTTTTTTGAAGTCTGTTTTCGCTACTGGGATAAATACGTGCCATAGACACGAATTTTACAAACATAAAGAATAAAGTTTGAAATGGTTTTAGGCATTTTGAAATTTAATTAATTGAGATCCGACCCAACAAAACTGTAATATTTTATGCAAATATCAAAATCATGTGTTAGATTCCTCAGATATATAGGCTGAAGAAAATGTTCAATTCCAGGAATTCTGGAACAAAGATTCAGATTTCGGACAATAAAATGTTTTCCAAGATCCCAGATTTGAAAACAAATAGCAATGTAAATAGATCTTAGAAAATTTTCCAGATTCATGGGCTTGAAGAAAATATTTATGATTCGTGAATGTCGTGGCATTATCTTGAGAATTTCTGAACAAATTTTAGCCGAAGTTAAAGGGAATTCTTAGGAGTATTCTAAGAGAGTGCTGACTGGAATTCCATTTTATTTTTGAGGAGAACTTCAAGTAAATTCTATGGAATGCCTCCAAGGCAATTCGGAGGACCTTTAGATTCCTGGTAAATGCTCTGGAGATTTCTTGGGGAGTTCTGAGGAGAATTCAAACGAGAAGAGCCTATTTAATTCAATTCTAAGTAGAATTCCAAAATGGGAAGAAAGTTCTAAAGATTACTCAAGTGAAATTACTAAATAAGCAAATGTGAGAATAATTTCAAGAGAATTCTGAGGAGAAATTAATCGGGACATCGAAGCATGATTCCACCAGAAAAGAGGAGAAGACTTAATGAATGTCTAGGAATATTGACAAGGCGTTGTGAGGAGAGTTACTGGTTTTAAATTTAAAGTGTATTCCAAATGAATTCTGGATAGGAGAGCCATATAGAAATTTCATGGAGTATTCCAATGCAATCCCTGTGAGAATTTCATGGAATCTAAAAGTGGTACTCCATGAGAGTTCTGAGGCAAGCATATTTGAAGACTTCCTGGGCTGAATTAAGAAATAATTCCATCAATGTTCTGAAGGAATACTAAGAAAATGTTAAGGAAAATTCCTAAAGAATCTGAAGAATACCGAGGAGAATTTTAAGGTAATTATGCTGCAATTATTAGAAATTCTAAGTGGATTGTGAGCTAATTGCAAGAGTTTTCTTCAGATAATTTCAAGAGTGTTTTGAAGAAAATTATGTGGATATTACCATACAGAGTCCCATGACGGATTTCTTAGATGATTTGAAAGACATTTTTTAACAAATCCCAAAAAAAAATTCTGTGGAAGGTTCCAAAATAAATCAGACTTGGATAACAATTAAGATTCTGAGACTTCAGATAAGATTTAACTTACAACATTTGAGATTCTTTATAAATATCCCGAAGATAGACGAGTAATTGAAAAATAAATCAACTGTCTAAGACTTCGTAGCATTTAAGGGTTCTTGTATTTTTTTAAACTTTGATGATACTGAATTCATAGAATTTTTCGAAACTCAAGGGGCACTGGGAATTTTTGTGATCTGAGATTTAAAACAATTTCCGACGTTTCGAAATTTGTACACTTTCAACATTTCATATGTCTTCAAAATGTCTGCAGAAAATAAAAGTTTTCATGGGAGTTAAAATGTGTTCAAAATGAAGTCATGTCTTCGAATTTGGCATCCCTGACACAGGGCAAAAGTGCCGATAGTAATTCTTTGAAAAAAAAAATCAAAGGTGTTATGTCGAAAATTTTAAAACATTCAAAATGGCTGATTTTAGAGAAAATGTGTATCATTGCCCATAAGAAACCATTGAGCAAAGTTTCATACAAATCGGAGAAGTTCGAGTTTTTCCGATTTGTCATTTGGCGTGGAATTGCTCAACTCGTAACTTGGTCTATTTTGAGTTCAGTTCTCAGATTCGTTGAATCCTGACCAGGGATTAGAAGAATGTTACCAATAATCTGCTGAATCCGGTTTAGCATTCGCTGACTCTGGACCAGGATTCGTAGAATGAATCTTGGAGGATTACCGAAAACCAGCGAGGATTAGCAAATTCTGAGGAATCTAAAAAAAATGTAATGGATCTGGACTAGAATCCGGACAAGGATTTGCGGAATTCGGACCAAGATTCACTGAATCCGTACAAACATTATTTCAAATTGGACTAGAGGTTTGCAAAACCTAGCTAGGATTCCTGCATAGGTATTGGGGAAATGCTACCTCGGATCCGTAGATCCTGATAAGAACTACGATAAGACATAGACTTAGACCTAAAATCCACACCCAACAAACAATTTACGCTTCATAAGTCAATTTCAGCTCTGCAGCTGAAAACGTTAGTTTGGCAGACACTCCAACCCTCAACAAGACTCATACGACTTGTAGGCTTCGAAGTGGACCACCGCTGCAGATCCTTTTTTTAAATCTCAAAAACCAATACCTGCATTCACCTTCCAAAACTAATGCTCTTCTTCCCCCCGAACCTCTCCAACAGCAACGTCCAAACCTACCAGCACGAGCAGGACAGTGCCTACGAGCAGGATGCCGCCACCTTCCTCAACCAGCTGATCAACGAGCTGGAGCGGACGGCCATCAACCTGCCGGAGGATAACGTGACCGGTCGGATCCGGCTCAATGAATCGGCCCGCAACTTCCGGCAGCTGTTCTCGCACAATCCCGTCCAGCTGTACTCCCATCTGATCAGCTGCCTGCAGCGGGAGCGGCAGTGCATAGCCTACCCGGAGGACTGCGTCAACGTGCAGGATCCGGAAATCGCCGAAGTCATCAACGGGCTCCAGCAGCTGCAGATGTTCGTGCGAGCCAACGAAACCGAAAACCGCAATCTGGTCAAAGACTACGAGCACCTGTTGCTCGAGATTCACGAAATTACCAAGAACAAAGCCCAAATGGAAGCCATTTCTAATGAGCAGCTGCGGGAGCACGCCCGGGTCACCGTGACGCAGCAGGAACGTAGTGTAAACGAAACAGTCACCCTGATTACCGGCAAGCGGCTGAATCTGGTCGACAATTTCCGCAAAACGATCCAACTGACATCGCAAGTGCAGGACAAAGTGCTGCACAAGTACCTGACGCAGTGGAAGATCAACCAGGGCTTTGCCGGGAATGGAGCATCCGGCATGAGTGCCAGCAATCTGGACACCATTCAGGCGTGGTGCGAAAATCTTGCCGAAATCGTCTGGAACACCAAGGACCAGATTCGGCTGGCGATGAAGAACAAATCCAAACTGAACATCGAAGAACCCAACTTGCCCGACTTTCTGCCGCAGTCGCTGGTCGAGGTGACCAATCTGCTGAAGGCCCTCATCACGACGACGTTCATCATCGAGAAACAACCGCCACAAGTGATGAAAACCAACACCCGGTTCGCGGCGACCGTCCGGCTTCTAATCGGTAACACGCTCAACATCCGCATGAGCAACCCGTTGGTTCGGGTTTCAATTATTTCAGGTAAGAGGCTGGTAGCTGGTGGCCGGGTTTTATCCGATCCATTGGGTCGAATAAGTAGGGATAAGTGTGTGCACGTTTGTTATTTACTGATTGTCTGATTTTCTGTTGCCTTTTATTTTCGGCCCCTTTTTCGCTACTTCTCGACACGAACAGAAGCGCAAGCACAGGCCACGCAGCAGTCCAACAAGGCGTCGGAGCAGTCTTGCGGAGAGATCATGAATAATACAGGAAATCTAGAGTACAACGAAACCACTAAGCAGTTATCGGTTAGTTTTAGGTGAGTTTAAGCTTTGTTTACAAACTTGACCGTGTTGATTGATTTCGCCAACTTTAACTACCACGCAGAAATATGCAACTTAAGAAAATCAAGCGAGCGGAAAAGAAGGGTACCGAGAGCGTGATGGACGAGAAGTTTGCTCTGCTGTTCCAGTCCAGTTTCGCCGTTGGTCATGGCGATTTAGTCTTTTCGGTGAGTGCTTTTTGTAATAAGAATTGGAATGTCAGTTGATGAATTTGTTTTCTTTAACAGGTTTGGACGATCTCACTTCCGGTGGTCGTGATTGTGCACGGCAACCAGGAACCGCAATCGTGGGCCACCATCACCTGGGACAACGCGTTTGCCGACATTAATCGAGTGCCATTTCACGTGCCGGACAAGGTGTCCTGGAACCTGCTAGCCGAGGCCCTGAACACCAAATTCCGCGCCTCGACGGGGCGTTCCATGACGCCGGAGAATATGCACTTCCTGTGCGAGAAGGCATTCCGCGCCACCCTGCAGTATCCGGTTTCGAATGATCTGACCATCACGTGGTCGCAGTTCTGCAAAGAACCCCTTCCGGACCGGACGTTCACCTTCTGGGAGTGGTTCTACGCGGCGATGAAGGTCACACGGGAACACCTACGTGGGCCGTGGAACGACGGTAGCATCGTTGGCTTCATCCACAAATCCAAAGCCGAAGACTACCTGCTCAAGTGTCCCCGGGGAACGTTCCTGCTGCGGTTCTCCGACAGTGAACTGGGTGAGTACTACGATTAGTTTTTCGCTGATAACGGTTTTGTTTCAATCGTTGATTGTTCCGAACAGGTGGCATCACCATCGCCTGGGTCAACGAAAGTAACGACGGCCAGCCGCAGATCCTGCACATTCAGCCCTTCACGGCGAAAGACTTTGCCACCCGGTCGCTCTCGGACCGGATCCGTGACTTTGAGGACCTGTTCTACCTGTACCCGAACAAGCCGAAGAACGAAGCGTTCGATCGGTACACGACTCCGCCCGGCCAGCCACGCAACCGCAACTACATCCCCTCGGAGGTGCGGGCCGTACTTATGCCGAGCAACAACAACCCTATCAGCTACCCGAATACGCCCAACTCGTACGGGCACCTGCAGTCGCCGGATGCCTCCCGGGATACGCCCAACAGCGGGTGAGTCAGTTTTTCTTCTTCCCATTACGTTTCTCGTCAATCGATGCTTTCCCTCACTCTGCGTGTATATCTGTATAGTTTCAGTTTTTTTGTTATTCTAACCCTAGCAGTTCTAGTTCTGTAGTTAGCACCCATCAGAAGCACAGCCACACATATTAAGCTTTCGCTTTCGTTCTTTAACCTCTTACATCTATCAAGTTCATTGTTTACATTGGTTTCATTTCTTGCGGCGGAAATGGTGATTTGAGGTTGAGGGTTTCAAACCGGAATGTCCGTTATTTAGTCTAATTCGACCTCAAGACTCTAAATCTCTCTGACAAATCTTTGAACGGTCTTGCTGATGTTTTTCGCAATCCAAGATGCTTTACTTCACCTTGAATATTGACCCCCGGGATTGGATTCGGGAACTTCCGGAATCCACTCTGAATTGACCAAAAAAGTTTCGGAGTACCCGTAGAGTGGTTGCGGAATATCCGTAATCTACTTGAACAAATTATACGAACACAAGGCTAACAGGGTTTCTGCGGTCCAGATATCGCTAAGGGATCGTTAAATTCCGCCTAAACATTGGGAAAATTCAGATTTCAGATGCTTCTTGTTGGTAACTACGTCCTAACTGAAATTTTACATCTGCCGTCAACATATCAGTAGTTGTCAGTTTAAAGCTTTCGAAGCTTTTCGTATTTTAGTATTCGCGTTTGTAGTGGTTTGGTATTCATTCGTCATACTTCGGCAGGACTTCTGCATAATCTGCTTTGAAGGCTCATGTGAACTGTTGCTGTGTCGCATGGCAGATTTTTGTTCTAGTTACTTCCTCCAAACCATCCGGAACATGTCCGAGTGCGGCTAATGCGGTTCAAGCAGCTTTTTGAATGCTCCGTCGGTTCAAGCAGCTTTTTGAATGTTCCGTCGGTTCAAGCAGCTTTTCGAATGCTCTGTCACGGCAGTGTGAACATTGAGCGAGTAGAAAGCGAGCAAAGGTCAATTTTTGAGGAAGGCATGATTCGGGTTGATCATCTCTTTTACCAAACTCCTATGTTGGGGAGGGATGGTGAGGGATATTTCCCCCCGCCACCACTGGCAAAAGAAATGATCGCCGATTTGCTCAGTGGTGGCCTAACCATATTGCAACTATGTTTTGTTATGATCAATTGAGCTGAAATTTTGACACACAACTACAAATATGCTGGATTTTGCATGTACGTAATATCAAATTATTGGAAGCGCTTGCCGAAAATTGACGGGCTGGTTGAAAATGGGCAACTAATTAGCAAATTTATGATTTAAAAATTTCCGAAGCGTTATAGTTTTAACATTTTCAACCATATTACCAATAAACGACGGCGTGCTTAAGAAAGTTATAGTGTATCCCCTATTTCAAGGGTCTTCGTGGGGGCTGAAGCCCTACGTTGGAAATTTTAATTTAGAATTAAATTAGTTGATTAACTGCCTAACATTGAATCGTAAGTATTCGTGGTTTGGCTTCCTATAGAGTTCTCCAGATGCACAAGAGTGTGCTTGAGACCCAAGGAGGTGGTCACTCCGCACAGTGTACCCAAAATACAGTTGGGCACACCTGGGCACTCTCATTGGCACTATTTCGCACCCATGGTTAGAAATGTTCATGATCTTTAAAGTTACTGGTAACACTGTATTACATCTGCGCCTGCGCTGTGCATGTGTCAAAATGTTAAGCATTGTTGATCCAATCCAATTTTTGGATTCATAAGTGCAAGCGTGAATCCCGCCAATTTCCGTAATAGATTCCTCTGCGACACACATTATAATGCCTATCCAAAGCAATACATGATTCGCATTCAGTGGCGTTTCCTTAACCTCAATCTACCTGTGCACCAACTCTCAACGACAACGAAGATATGATTGAATGGATACTTCTTCTAGGTTGCTTCGTTGTATGTAGTTTGAATCTGCACTCAACACTCCTCCTCAACGAAGTCAACGATTGCCTTCCAGATTTCCTTGGACGCCAATCGCATTTCGATGTCTTTCCAGCTTCACCCGGTCCAATGACTTAGTCATCAGATCGGCTTCTATCTGAGCGGTTGGTAGATACCGCAAATCGATAATCCCTTGTAGACGTAGATCTCTGGTAAACGCATGCTTCGTGTCAATGTGTTTCGATTCCATGCGATCGGACTCGACCATCTTGATGCAGGATTGGTTGTCCTCCCAAAAAACGATTGGGTTTTCTGGTTCCTCGTTGATATCCTTTATCAGCTTCCGCATCCATAACAGCTCCTGGCATCCCTGAGCCAAGGCCACAAACTCGGCTTCTGTTGAAGAAAGTGCAACGCAAGACTGTTTGTGGGTGCCCCAACTTACCAGCCATCCACCGATTTTGATCAGGAAACCAGAGTTGAATTTTTGGTCTCCTTCGTCTCCAGCCCAGTCTGCATCGACAAAATATTCCAAGCCTTCATTTCCGGATCCCAGATGTAGGGAAAAGTCCTTTCTTCGTACAGCAAACTACCTACCCAGCTACGGTACAATTCATTGGTAAGCAGTTCTTCCTCGTTCTTTTACTTTACGTAAGCTGGGTCGAGTGGAATCTTGGACGGCTTGGCGTGTTCGTGCCCAAACACGCTCCACAATCTTGTCGATGTAATCGGCCTGGTTCAACACGTAGTGTCCGTAGTGCTTCTCGATGCGTATCCCAAGGAACAGTCGTAGCTCTCCCAGGCTTGAGAATTTGAACTGCTTCGCCAGTGCTTTTCTGATTATCTCGAATTCTTCTTTTGAGTGGCAGCACACAATCATGTCATCAACGTAGATCAAGATGTAACTGCGCTTACCATGTTGCTCCTTCACGTACAGGCAAGGATCCAATTCGGCAGAATTGAACCCCATCTTCTTGAACGAGCTGTCGATTTTCCGGTTCCATACCCGTGCCGATTGCTTCAGCTCGTAGAAGCTGCTATTCAACCGACAAACCTTGTCGCCGTCCGTTTTGGATCCAGGAGTGTTATCTAGCTCGGCATACAAATAAGCAATATTGATATCCAAGTGCTGCACCAGCATGTCATCCCGACTGGCAATGGTCAAGATGGTACGAAGAGTAGTTTGCCGAGCAATGGGAGCGAATACCTCGTCGAAATCCGTCCCATATTTTTGTGTGAATCCTTGTGCGACCAAGCTGGCCTTGTATCGCACTGTGTTGCCATTTTCATCGACCTTTATCTTGAAGGTCCACTTACACCCAACGGTCTTCCTTCCAGGGGGCCTTGGTACTAACTCTCATAACGACTGTAGCTCCTCCTTCATTGCGAAATGCCACGCTTCTGCATCTGGACATTGGATTGCATCGGTATAGCTCCTGGGTTCATCGGCGGTAGTACTGGTGACGCCGGTGACCTCTGAGTAAGGTTTCGGCAGGATTCCCTTGGTAACTCCCGTGGATCATCTCTGATCAGTTGGCGTCTGCATTGAATTGTCTCATATAATAATATTCCACCCACTATATCACAAGAAATTGCGAGTAGCTGAGTGGAATGGAGATAAGTTAAGCATTGGGTACAGGACCAAGTCTCCCCTGGGTGGTACCAAAAGATGAGCGCAATAGAATCATCAAGTTGCCATAAGGCACGGAATGAGACTATTGCATGGCTGGGTAGTCAAAGTCTTCCATTCGTTAGTCATTTCAGGTGGATTAGAACAGGTTTGTAATCCTGGATAGGACCCTATCATTGAACGTCGCGTGAAAGTGGATCTTGATGAAGGCATAAGTACTTTTTCGTAGTTTTTAGTTTTCGGATTTGAAAGATCATCGGTTACAGTGGCCTGCTTACTGAGCAGAAAAACGCGGTCCCAGGTCCTTACATATCAAAGAGATTTATGGTAAAATCGCTTGTATATCGTGTATTTTGCGAAACTCGTTGTTGTCGTTGGTTCCGGGTTTGAATGGATACACAAATTTGAGCAACGGTATTATGTGATATGAGGGGCTCGGTGGCCTTAGAGCAACCGTTTTTGCTTACTGAGCAAACATCATGAGTCTAATCTCAGGCCCATCCACATTCAAGATTCGTCAATCGTTTTATTTGTTAATATGACTACATGGTAATAACAACAACTCGGTGATTAAAAAGGTGCTCGTCTGCCTAGTGGCAAACGTTTTTGCTTACTGAGCAAAGCTCCTTCGCGTTATATGATCGTTAGGACATCAATTCAGCTTATCGTTTACCAAAACGAACCCTGCTGCAAACCCAACCCTCTTATCCAACATCCCAGTGATTCCTCGTGGAAGTGCAGAGGTGTTCTCGGCTTCCATCAAAGCGAGTGTCATGTCAACACAATCCTTCCCATTCCTTTCTTGACCTGTGTTCGGGCGCGGCCGGCGCTGGTACTGCCTAATTTAAGATCACCAGTTTTTACACATTGAGGATGATTGCTAGTTCCAAGCATCGTCTATTGGTTCTCTGTGTAATTACAGCTGATCTGGCAGTAACAGAGTAGCAACCGTGGGCGGTCAATCAAGCTCAAGCCGGATCATCTCAGTTCAGTTGGTGGTTCGATGTTCACATTGATATCGCCGTCGTCCTCATCGTCGGGCATATCTGCTACGGTGGGCTTCACTGTCGAATGATACTCGACCGTGTTCTCCTCCTGAAGATTTTCGATCGGCTTTTCTGGTCCGGCCTCGACAAACGTTGCGTCCCGGCTGATGTAGATTTTCCGGGTTGCTTTATCCAGGAACCGATACGCCTTGTGGTCCTGGGAATATCCGACGAAGATCAGCTTCTGAGTTGCAGGGGTTGAGCTTCTTCCTACCAAAAACTTGCAGATGACCAACGTCTGGTTTTCGGTCGTTCCATAGTTCGTACGGCGTGTCTGTAACGGATCTTGATGGCGATATGTTTTGCAAATACACCGCCTTATTCAATACCTCCGCCCAATAACACTGATGCAATCCAGAATCGAACAGCAGGCACCTACCCATTTCGATAAGATAACGGTTTCGTCGTTCCGCCGCTCCGTTTTGC